TGGGACTCTAGAAATATGAATACAACAATGTAATAACAACACTCTTCTTTAGCCCAGGTTCACTCATGATCTTTAGTTAAAAATAAACCCCCTGAAGCAGGACTTAAATTCAGCCTGACTTGCCTCTGTGCTAAGGATGGAGCTCCCAATAGACCCTGCTGGCCTTGCTGGAGACAATTTAATAAACAGGACTTGCATTAAGCACCTGTATAGATAAAATAAGGAATTAAAGACATAATTCATAGTGTAATTACTACAGATCTCTGGCATGGCAAAAGCAGTGCATCTTGCCCAGCACACTTCTTCTAATAACTTTCTTTTTCAGTGAATAATCTGAATTTCTTAAAACCAACATTGTTCCTATGCTGATAGACCCAGCAACAATCATTCAGAAAAATCTCTTCAAATAACTGTCAACAGATCTGCCTCTCCTGTGTGTTCTTGACCATAAAAGGATGTATTTAAAATACAAGTAATTTGGAAAGGAGAACACATTATGGTTAGCTTGTTCTTAAATAAAAACCTGTTTCTTTCAAAGCAAAGCCAGGCAGTGCCTGCCAGTTCTCTAACATCCTGCATGTTAGAGCATGAAGTGAGAAACTTCAACTGAAATATTACTGAAAGGAGGCTTTTGTGGTTAGTAAATAATACCTCCTTTGGAGAATTGTGGGCTGGCTGCTCCTGTTCTTGCTGTAGCACAGGGATTGACTGAAACACCTCATTCTTTGTAGCAGCATGCTGGCTCTGGATGCTGAGTGAATCTAAGGAGTTGGTGATTGAGGGCCCCTCTGAGGGATGCCACAGCAGCCCAGCGTTCCCCTCTAAACACAAGGAGCTATTTCAGCAGGGCAAGATGACACTCTGCCACTGCCCCGGGAAACAGATTTGCATTGCAAAACCTACCTGAGCCTGACATTGTGAAATCTCTCCCCGGTGCTCCATGAACCACTAAAGAAGCCCAGCTGAACAGGGCAGGATGAGCCTCGCCCAAGCTACACGCAGCAAACAGCTCCAGGAGCCAGAGCTGGGGAGCAGGAAATGTGTGGGAAAGCCATCTGGTGAAGGCACTCAGAAACAGTGTGGAAGTCTTTTTTCATTCACTTCCTGACAAAGTAGTAATATGTTGTCTCATTATAGGAAGATGACTGCTTGTTATTATTATTTGTATTAGTAACTCCTAGGAGCCCAAAGGTGGGGAGAGACTCTTGCTGTGCTACCTGCTGTGGGCACATGTAAGAGGAGACCTTCCCTATACACACTCCTCCACAAAAGGACAGAAGGCAGAGGATTGTGGTTTTTGTGTTTTTCTTTTTTCTTTTTCTTTTTTTATCCTCGTGGGGAACTGAAACAGATGGGAGAGACTGAAGGAGCTGGAAACAGAACATGTAATAATTCCCAAGCCTTGACTTTCTCAGCAGAACTGTTCCTTGCCTCATACTTCAGCTCTGAGCAGTTCTGGTGAGTGGTTTGTACCCTGGCACACTGCTCATGAGGAGCTCTTCAGTTCTCCTTGGTAAACTTGGCATTTAGCTTGGTGTGGACACACTGCTGAGAACTCCTGCACCCTTTGCTGTGCTGAAGCAGGGGGAGGGAAATCAAAGCAATGTGCAGAAGGGATTTTAATCATCATGTAGCAAATTAAAAAATACTGCGGAGGTCTTAAACTTGCTCTTTGGCATTTCAATCATGTCTTTCATCATGTGCTCCCAGTCCAGCCAACCAAATATTCCCCATGGTTTAATGCTGCTCTAACCTCAGGCAGTATCTTTGTTCTGCTAAAAGCAGAGAACCAAAGGCTGTATTTCAAGAGGAGGCAAAGTTCCTTATAGCCTACTTACTATTATTAGATATTTAAAGTTCTCCTGTATCACCACCTCATTGGAAGACCTCAAAACTTTTTAAAGACCTTATTTTAGCCTCTTGGTGACACAGGCAAGAGGCTAATTTTTAGATACTGGAACAGACTTAAAATTCCTATCCTTGAGTTTTCTTATCAGTCTTTGCTGGAACTGATGATGGATTTTTTCAGTCCCAGGCATTAATTGCAAGACAGAGCTTTCCAGGTCCCCTTGCTGTCCTTGTGTGGGTGTGTGTGCTTGGTTGGCTGGCATTAGTGCCAGGTTTAGACAAAGTGAGTATGTGTTGGCTTTTCATCTCTGGGGAAGGCAGAGTTTAAAAAATGTCCTAAGGACTAATTAGTTGGTGAAAGTATGGCAGCAGCAGGAAGGAGGAGGGGCAGGATGGAGGAGATGGTGGCTGCTGCCCTGCTTTGAGATAAAAGAGGCTGAAGCCCAGGGAATCCAGAAGAAACAAGCAGGACCATGTGGGCTGGCAGCTCCTGAGGCTGACTGTCATTCAACACACAGAGCCCAGAGCCAAGGGGATACCTTCTCCAGGAGTGAGATGATCAAGTGTTGTTAAGTGGGGCCACGAGGTGTTAATTGCTAAAAACTGTAGAAATTCAAATTTGAGGAGTGTAAGATTGACTCTACCAGAGGGAAGCCTGTCTATGTGTCCTGTGAGTGAAGCAGGATGGGGCAGACTTGGGGCTCTGAATAAGGCTTTCATCACCTTATCCCAGACTTCTCATAACCCTCTGCTCCCAAACAACCCAGGTGACACAAATGCAGAGCCAGGAACACAAGGAGGATACTAACATCTTAAACCTCACAGAAGCTGTCACAGCACCTCTTTGTAGGGCTTTTCCTCCTCAGTGCTCAGCTCATGATCCCAGGAGAGACTCCAGGCTATGGCAAGCACATCCATGCTACTCTTATTTGTCCTTTTTATTAATTGGAAGCCTAAGTGGTAACAGGAGCCAGAACTACATGGGTGCAGGGTTCAGGCAGTGCCACTGCCTCAGGGATTACATGTGTAACCTCTTCAGAATAAGAGACCAGACACATGAGACTACAAATACACTATGGAACAGCAAATATGGAATATTAAGCAGCTAATATAATGCTAAGATTTTAAAAAGCCTCAGCTAAAGCCCTGAGAATGACAACAGATTGTTCCTTGCTTTCTTTCAATTTGTACAGATTTTCCTGACTGTGGGAAGACTGTTTACACCCTTGCTATACCCATTGCTGTATTTGAGCTACTGGCAAGTTTTGGCCAGGTGACAAACTCAATGAGCACTGAATCGTGCCTCGGCAAACATCAGCTCTGTCTCTATCAGAGCTTATCTGCATTGGAGAAAAACTGTCCTCTAGGCTGGGAGCAGGGCTGGGCTGCAATGGGAAGGGCAGCAGCAATACTCAGCATTTTTGAATGTGGCAGTTCTGAAGTGGATCAGTGAAGACCATTTCTGGCACTAATAGGGAGTTAAGGGCACAAACCCCATGCTTGGACACCACATGCTGGTAGACTTGGTGGTTCCTCTGACAAGGCTTTGTGGAGTGGCTCTCTGAGCATCTGGCTGTGAGAGGTTCCTCTAGCACAAGCATCATGTGAGGATAATCCCATCTGGTTTAAAAGCCCAAAACAAGCTGCCTGGTTTGCCTCTCCTACCTTCTAGTCTGTTCTTCCAGTTTATGCTTATGCTGGGACAATAACAAATCTTACATTCCCCAGCCAGTGACAGAAATCATACACACACAGAAGGAGCCAAGTTCTTAGCCCTGGATAAGAAACCTGACACAACACAGGGCTTGTGCAATCTTGGGTGGAAACCCTCATCCATGGTGTATGTGGAATATGCTCTGTCCAGAGAAAAGGTAGAAGATCTGTAGCTCACTTGGGACACATTGCTTTAAAAACATGGACAAACTTAGTAGCATTCCCGAGCTAAGGAAGATCAAGTCCTTTTGGGGTTTTTTTCTCCCTTCTTTTTAAAGTTAGTTAACCAAATTGGAATAAGTGACTTTTTAAATCCTTGACAAGAAAATCTACAGTGGAATGAGGAATGATTTCCTCAAGTGTCAGAACAGAGTGTCATACCCAACACTAGCTCCTCTCACCTCCAGAGGGACAGGACAACTGCACACACACAGCTTGAGTGAAGACCTGTATATATGGCCCTCTTCAGAGTCCTTTGATCCTAGTGCTGTGGTTGAGGCGTCCACCCTCCCATAGGCAAAATCCCTGTGTCAGCCCCAGAGACTCAGCTCTGACAGAATTTAGTCTGAGAGAGGTTCTTAGAGCATGAGGTGGGCCTCTTCAGCCTGAATATGTGTTTTTGTTCTATGCTATTTTAGGAATAAGCAACTGATAACAAGCAAATGCTTTCGTCTGCTGGAGTAACTGTGTTCTCAAGCATTAAAATTATGGTTTGTACTAACTGTCCAGTGGGGAGGAAAAAAATCAAGGCTCTTAATTCCAGAAGACAGGTTAACTTCTGTGGAAAGGAGGCAGAAACTGTTAAGTCTTTTGCTGTCAGAAAGAAACTCACGCTGCAAGTATTCAGTCAATTAGGCTGATTTGTAGCAGCCTCACTATAAAGCCTCTTTCATTCACAGGCAAGTTAAGCTCTTTGATGAAACACGGCATTCCAAGGAGTTTCAGTAGGTTCTCACACATCTAACCATGGCAAAGTTATCTGTAGTGACACACCATCTGAGAATGACATGGTATGTTCAATTCTACAACATTACAGCCAATGTATCTCAAAAGAGGGAGGCCTGCAAAAAGCCTTTCGTCCCACTGTTGCAGATTAGCCTTCTTCTTGCATGCATAATTTGTTCAGCCTATTAGTAAATTAGAAACAGATTTTCTACATCAGTTCTAGATACAAAAACAGTTGAGAGAGATAACTATGCAGTAAATGACCACTCAACCCAGAAACACAACTGTTTTGCCAAAGAAATGCATCACTCCTTAGAGGTGTAAAATCAGTTTAAAGGCAGTATGTGTTATCACAACACCTGTGTAACATAACCAGAGGCAGAACTCTTTGTTTCCCTGGAAGTTGGAGCTTCCCCACTCCTTTGCCCCAGAGGGGGACGAGAGCAGAGCTGTGCCCCTGTCCCGTGCCCAGCTGTGCCACCCAGCTGACTCACCCTGCTGAGCTGGTCCAGGAGTCTTTGGTTCTGCTCGGAGAGTTCCTGGACAGCGCGCGTCTTCTCGCGGTCGGCCTCGCGCAGGTGCACCTGCTGCTTCTCCAGCTCGTCCTGCAGCTGCTTCACGTCGCTCTCCAGCTCGGACACCCTTCCTTCCCACTCTCCCTCCTTGTTCTCAAATCGCCGCCGCAGCTCGTGCTTCTCTTGCTCCAGGTGCTACGTGATGGGGGAGAAGAGGTTAGGAAGGGAGGGAAAAAAGGTGAATGTCTCCTTTTCCTCCTCTATGCTAGGGTTAAAACCTCATGCAGGAAAGAGGATGGTGCTGGAGCGTGACAATGCCATGGAGATAACAATTCCACATCAGGGCAGGTCACTGGCACTAAAGCCATTTTCCATTTCCAGCAATTGGCCTGTCCTTGGCCACTGGAGTTCAGCACATTGAATTTTTACTGAAATAACTGCCAAAGGAGTGAAGTAGGCTGCATGTCAATAGGCGAGATATATAGGTCAGACAGAGCAACTGATTTAGCAGAGCCCAGTTTAACTCCAAAGCAATATTTCAGTGGTCAGTGGCATAATTTTTTAAAAATTGCCTTTATAGTCAAAATACACGAACTGTATACCCTCACTGTTGGTAAAGAATGTAGATGAAGCATTCTTGTTGTCATATGGGTCTCATGAACAACAGTTGAATCATCTATCCATTTGCTCCTTCTATTCCTGACCTAATTAGTGTCTGAGAGTTTGATAGTGCACAGTAACTCCATTGTTTGATGCAGCCTGCTCTGGAATGGCAATGGATGCAATGAACTGGTTGCTATAGACATTATGTACATCCATGTTCTGGGTTCAGGTTTCTTAGAAACCACTCGAAGTTCTGGAGACTCTGCTCTGCTTTGGATTGGCTGGAAAATGAGGGACAGCACCAATCTGGTGAAACTTTTGCATGTTTTACAGGCTCAGTTAAATGAGGGCTTGATTGAAACAGAGCTGCAAATCAGGTCAAAGCAGATTTATGTTGTGCCCATTTGAAAGAATCCCTGCTCCAAAACCTTGAGTTTGAATTTCCCTTGGTGGCTGAAGACACACATTTACTTTCAGAACAGTCACAGCTTGGGGACATGCGCACGTCCCAGGATCAGCAGGGAACCTGAAAAATGGGAGTCCTCTCCTTGTTGGTTGTCCTCTGATCCCCACAATATTCTCCTGCTACTCTTTAACAGATTCCCCAGTCTTTAAGGAATGTGCCTTAGAAAAGAATACAAACCCACTGGGCCAAGCACTTGCCTATTTCTCCCAGGTGAATTGTTCCCTGGTGAACAATTCCCATGGCACTTCTGATAGGAGGGAAAAATAAACCTGCTAGGTGGAAAAGAAAATTGCACTGCATTTATGTGAAGTGGCTTTTTATTGCTTGTTAGAAACACAGGCTGTGAGGGGGCTGTTTCCCCTGGGTGCCTACTGCTGATGACACACAGCCTCCCTGGCAGGGTCCCTGTCACCTTCCCAAGCCGGTCTGAATGTCAAAACCCTCCAGGACCTCTCTCTTCTGGCCTGTGTATTGCTAATCTTCCACCTTTTTTTTGCTCTGCCACACAGATGCCATGTTTTCTCTTTCTTCACCTGATCCCCAAATCCTTTCCTATGCTCCTTCCAGCTCAGTGTAGCAGCATGGTGCTTGTGCCCTTTAAATCCTTCTGCAAATTCCAGACTTTCATGAAAAACCCTTAAATATGAGGGAAAGTTGATTAAAAACAGTGGCCCATAGTAGGGGATTTCCCCATGTTTCAGACACTAAAAGAATGAGCATCCTTGCAAATGAGAGCTAAGCAGTAAATATAAATATTTTAATGCAATAGGTAGGCATGAGATCCCAGTACCTGGCCCGTGATAACCATTGCACAGAAATCTTGTTTGTAGTCCAAGTGTGGCTGGAGCAGCCACAATTTCACTTTGAGCAGCACACTGAAAATTCTGTCTTTTATAGCTCTGCCTCTTTCACTGCTAGGCAACGTTTAGAAAGATCCAGGGCCTTCTCTAAATGGAAAGTGGAACTTCAGCCTGCTGAGAAGCAGCACTGCAGCTGAAGTGCCCCAGACACCCAAATGTGATTTAGAAGCCACTGATAAGCCTCGTCAATCATTTAAAAAGCACTTTAGTTTTTTCACTGCAAAAGAAAATCTCCACTAGACAGAGCCCCAGTAAATGGCCATCACAAAGGCTGGCGTCAGAAGAATGTGAAGAATATGAAGTTTATTCTGTTGTGACAGAGAAACCAGAACAGAGCAGTGGGGCACAGAGAGGCTGTTGCAAAGAGGAGGAGAAGCCAGATGAGATGTGTTGACTGGTCCCTCCTGCTCCTGTCAGCAGCCATCTCTCCTGGCCTGCCCTCACCCCAGCACCTGCAGGGCTGCAGGTCTGGCGAGGGGATTTCTGCACCTAGTGCTGATAGGGCAAACTGCTGGCCTCAGGAGGGGAGTTTCTTGTTTCCTGAGTGTCTGTCTCTCCATTCACCAGCTGCTCATTGATTTTTAAACAGAACTGCTTTCTAGAAGATGTTTTCTTCTGAAAACAGCTTATCTTCAAATTACCTGAGCTGGGCTGGTCCTCATCTGAACAGATGAAAGCAAGGGGAGGTTTCCCAGCTGATAAAGAGGGTTCATACTGTAAAGTGCTTGGACACAGCAGGCTCCTCTGTGTCAGAGGAACAGCACTATTAACTGTTTTAATCCCTTAGAGAGGATAAAACTGTCTAGGATCACATATCAGAATTTATTACAGAACTTTAATTTCATGATTAGAAATGAATTTAAATTCAGGCTGTGAAATGAAAGGTTTGCCAGAGTAGGTGCATGGCAGGAATGCTGTACCTCAGCAATGAACCCACAAAACTAGAACAGATTTAATCTTGAGGCAAAGCACCCAATGAGCAGACCTGGACCTTGGCTGTTGTGAAATGGAGAGGCTTCAATGAGCTCTTGTAACCAATTCTGAACTGTGAACCGGGACAAAATATCTCCTTTTAAGTGCTAAACATCATTATATCAGGTTGTCAGCAAGGATCTCATTTGAGACTTTGCTTTGTGTCACCATCAGAAAGTTCTCAGCATAGGGAAGGAGGGAACAGCTGTGGGTCCTTCCTCTCTGCTCCTCTGAAATAAAAAAGCTTGTTGTGAAATTTTATTCACTTCAGTGGCAACAGGAGGAGGCCGAGATTTAATCTGCAGAGGCTGGGATTATCAAGCTTGTGTTTTAGAAGATTAATGTTGAAATTTGATTTTTTGTGTGAAGCAGCACTGGGTTAAATTTGCCAAACACAATGGAAAAAAAAATGACCCTAAAGTAGATAACACTAACTCCTCTCAAATGGGTAGCCTGGAAAATAGCAATCTGTTATTCCATTGGGAAGTTAGGGTGATAGTAATGGCATGAAAATATGTAAACAGCTTGTTGTGTTTACAATCTCTTCATTTACCTTCTGAATGGGCCTGTGAGAGCAGAGGTAAACATTTGTGGGATGTTATTTAAAGTACTATAAAGTCGTAGTTTCTCCCCTCTCCTTTTCACCTCTATGTTTTGCAAGCAGTGAGTGGTATTTGAGGCTCCTGAACTCCCTAAGAGGCAGCTTGCTGGGTACCTGAACTTGTGCATTTTTCCTTTAATGGTAGGAAAGGTTCTACTCCAATTCCTAAGGAAAACCATGTCAGCACAACACCACTTACGTCTGTTCTTACTTAAAGATCAACCTGGAAACATTCACTCTGGTGAATTTTAATACTCTGGGAAATTCTCCTCTGATAAAGAGAGCCACTAAGCAACAATTTGAGCAAATGTCACCTTCACTATTTTTTTATTAAAATAGCAAAGGCAGAGAGATTCCCTTGCAAAAAGGAAGGGATCAGCTGAGGTAACTGACAAGCTTAATAAGAGAGAGGAATTTTTGTCAGGAGAACAAAGGGCATACAGTAATTTCACAAATCCTCTTAAACTTGAGAAATGTTAAGTCTGTGAGGAAGGAATACAGGAATATTCAGGACTGTGCAGAAAGGACTCGTCCAGGGCTGTGACCTGAAATGTGAATGTTAATCCAGCACTGTTCAAACTCTCTCCAGAAAGGTGAGAGAGGCTTTCCTCAGCCTTCTCAGCAGTATTACTTATTGGAAGAAATACAATTTCAAGAAAACCTATGAGGAAGAGTGAATAATAGTGGTTCTCTCACAATTGTGCAAGAGAGTCGTTCCAAAAAAAAACTGCCCGCACAAGTCCTTTTCTTTGTAATAGCTCTATTTTATCTTAAAAAGCAATAAATAGCTCAATCCCCCGAGTTCCTGGCAAACAGTTCTCTCCAGATACCTGTAGGCATTTTTTTAGAGCCAACAGCTAAGAGCGATGTATCATTAGGGCTTATCTCCTGCCATGCCTAAAGCCTTAGCTGCAACAGCTTAAGCATAAGGGTCACATATGCTCTGTAGCTCAGTACCTGCTGTGCAAATTTAACTTCCGAGGTATTTCTGTGACGAGATGAGCCGCGCACATCTCTCCCAGGTGGTCCTGGGGCAGAAGAGCCCCCCAGGAGCCTCCGGAGCGCGGTGCTGCAGCCCGGCCCCGGCCCCACACGCCGGCTCTCGGCCGGGGGGATCGGGGGAGAACGGCAGCTTTGCCTCCCCCAGGCCTCGCAGGCATTGCTCAGACCCTTTCTTCCCCGTCACGGCCGCAGCGCGTCCCGTGGGCTGCCCGGCCGGGCCCGCGCCCGCCGCTCGCCGGGGAAGCGGCCGCGCTGCGCGGGGAGAACCCGCGGGCCGGGGCCGGGGCCGGGCGGAGCGCGGCGGGGCCTCACCTCCAGTTTGTCGGTGAGCTCCTTGTGCATCCTCTCGTACTGCCGGCTCATGTCCTGGTTGCGCTCCAGCAGCGCCTTGCCCAGCCGCGCCGCCAGCACCAGGTCCTTCTCCTTCTGCCGGATCAGCGAGAGCAGCTCGGGGTCGCGGGCGGCGGCGGCGGGCGGCGGCTCCGGCGGCTCCCCGGCGGCGGCCAGCAGCGCCAGCTCCTCCTCCAGGGCCAGCTCCAGGGCGGCGGCCCCGGGCGGCTCCATGCCGCCGGCGCTGTCCGCCTCCGCCGGTGCTGACCCGGCGGCGGGCAGGCGCAGGCACGGCGCCGACATGGCCCTGCGCGCCGCCGCCGCTCCGCTGCGCCCCCCGCGCCCGGCCCGCGGCTGCGGCGGCTGGGCGGGGAGCGCCGCCGCCCCCGGCCCCCGCCCCCCGGCGCCGGGCCCCGGCAGCGCATCGCCACCGCCACGGCCACTGCCACTGCCACCGCCGCCGGCGCAGCCACCGCCAGCGGCACCGGGCCCGGGCGGCGCGGAGGAAACCGGGTCCTGCTGGCCCCGGCTAACGCGGGCAGGTCTCGCCCCTTCTGCCGCAGGCCCAGGCCAAAAATCCCCCCAAAACATCGGCGAAGTCCCGGGAGGGAACTTGGCACCCCCGAGGGGCACAGCGCGTTCTCCTCGCTCGCCGCTCGCTCCCCCAGAGCTCTAGCGGGGCTCTTTCGGGTGCCAGAGCAGCTCTCGGGATCTTTGTGCTCAGTAGTTTACCCCGCAGAGCTGACTACAGCTTCCAACAGCCACCGGGGCTTGCTTTCAATTTCAGATTGTTTGGCATGTTCTCGGGTAACATTTGTCCTAAAGGTACCCTCAGTGAACGTTGGGAGTTGTAGTCAGTTCAGCTCCCAGTACTATTCCCTATATTATGGGCAGGACTGGTTGGGGTTTCAGTTTTGGTTTTGTTGATTTTTTGATCTCCTTAGATCCCAGTACAGGAGGGAGGCTGAGGCAGAATACAGCAGCATAAACCTGTATATTGTCACCTTTGCTAAGACCCCATTACCTCAATTTCTGATTATATTCTAATTTCAAGCAAGGCTTTAACAATGATGGCACAAAAACATTTTAAAGGGAACTTGTGCTTTTGATTCCTAGATTCTGCAGACAGGAATTATGAGTTTCACAGCTTTTTTCTTTGTACACTGCTTTCTTGGGACTTGCTTTCCTTTCCTTCACTTAGACCATGTTCATCTGTATGCAACAGCCCCAACACATCAGTCCCTGGATGTTTTTGGCTGGGACAGTTGGTGACTGATGCAGGTTTCAAGCACGGCTGGCTTCTGCCTGGCGTCAGACCCAGGGCCCTGGAGAGCTGCTGATTATTCGTACCAGTTAGAACATGAATTGTGGCAATGCAAATGGTCATCTGCCACTGGGACTCGGCTTTTCGTGGGGATACACCCCAACAGCCCGGCTTGGGGGACCTGTTGATCCTTGGCCTTTTTCTTGGCAGCATCAGTTAACAGCAGTGCTGCTTTTTGATATGTGAGCACCTACTCTCCAAGGACCTGGCAGACTGGTGCCTTGTGCTGCCAGCACCTGTCCCAGCACGATAACTGTTGGTCTTTATGACCATTGTGATTTTCTTTGCACTTGTGACCCAGAGGTGACACCTCCTTTATCTCACAGCAATTCCCCCAGGCACTGACTTTTCCCGTCCTTTTGTCCTTGCAGTTCCACAGACGCTTACATTGCTGGAAAGAGGGATTGACCATAAGGTGAGATGGTTTGGACAATATTGGCACTTTTAAAAGAACCCCTGTCCCAAGAGGAGCTGTGATTGCACAGATTTGATCATCTCTATTTAAACACAGGAGGGCGTTTAATATTTAAACTGATTGTGAGCACCTTCTGCTGGAAGTGCCTACTACAGCAAACCAAGCTCCTGGTGTGATTAATGAAATCCATTGTGGCATCAATTTTCATCTCTAATGCTTCCTTCAGTGTATAAAACAAAAAGAGATTATAGTGAGATGGTTTTAATCTCCCAAACAAAGCCTGAAACAAACCCCATTGCTGCATCTGTTAGGAGAGGGATGAAGAAAATCTATTGCTTGGATGGAGAGGGAAAAGCACATATAAATCAGTGAAATGTATTGTAAATATGCCACCATCTTAGTCAGGCCTTTATACAAGCTTAATGTTCTTTTGGGGACTATTGACTGCAAAACATAACTGTGTTATCTAGAGCAAGCCTGGATTAAAGCTTTGTTTATAGCACAACATATTATTGACTTCCACTTAAAAAAAAAATTAAAAATCCATTGTCCTGTGAATTTAATTATTGGTTTGGCTTTTTAGAAATATGGTATGTTACTGCTTCTAAAACTCCTTTGTATGCTACTTTATTAGTATTTGATTTTGTATATGTCATCCCAATCAAATACCTATGAAAAACTGTTAAAAATATAACAATGCAGTTTCTTTACAATGGAATAGTGGCATTATCTTGTAGGATCCTAAAATGTATTTCAGCTGAGAGCTGGGACAGTTGCTGCCTATAAGTGGACACCCAGCTCCCATTTCTGCTCTTCTTGCCCTGCTTCAGCTTGGTTATGTCCTTTGGAGAGCCTCAGCCCAGAAAATAGAAGAACCAGTTATTGGAAACAAGTCAAACATGAGGTTGTTTTGTTTTAATTGCACTGCTGAAGGCTGATGTGAGACTTCACTCCTCAGGTACTGCAATAGTGAGTAGCTCTTGTGGAGATTAGATCAGGTATTTCAAGAGCTGACACTCTTGAAACACAGAAGGTTTCTGTGTGTACAGAACAAATGATCTTTCAGCCTGGAAATCACTCCAGGGATGGCCCTTTCTGAAAATGCAAAAAGGCCAGACTGACTCAAGCACACAGAGAACCAAGAGCAAGTGACTGATGCCAGTGATGTCATCACAGCACAGAAATGTCACCTTGCCCAGGACACACTGCCTTCTTTGTGATATTAGCAAACAAGGGTGAAAATAAAGCATAGGTGTAAGAGAGTGGTGTAAGAGTCTTTGTAAGAGGGTCAATCATTCTTTCCTTGCTCAGATCAAAATCTTGCATAGTTCTGTATAAACTAGAAAGCAAAAGGTTCTATTCTTATGAGTCAAAAGGGGGGCACTGACCTTGCCTCTGAGTACTTTTTTTTTCCTTCTTGCTTGTCCCCATCCCACAAGCACTGAATCCAGTAAAAAAGCCATGGGGAGGGTTGGAGAACTTGATTCAAGGAGCCATCCAGGGCAACCTGCTAGTGCAAATTCCCTCTGCTAAACAGGTTCATAAAAGAGCAAGATGCCGAAACAGGCAATCCAGCTTAAGCTGTGGATACAGCAGTGGGTATTGTCCTTCCCACAGGGTCAAGGGGAGGTGAACTCTAAGCTGTGCAGGCTCTTCAAGCCCAGTGTCAAGTATATTGTTAAATCTGATGCTTTGAAATCTGTATTCTGCCTTGCAGGGATTTCACTGGTTGGTTTGCTCACAAAGGAAGTGTGGCAGAGGGTCTGGACCTTTGGTGGTTACACCAACAAATGCTGGAGCATGTAGGACTGTATGACTTGAGCAGGACAAAGCATTTTTCACACATCAGAAAAGCTGCAAATCCAATAAATGTCCAAGTGCTTCAATCAATACCTTCACCTCAGCTGTGAGGGCAGCACTCAGATAACAGGCACTGCAAGGGATCATCTTTTTTTGTTTAGAGTAAGGGGAGAAAAAGATGTGTTGTGGGAAAGCCACAGCCAGACCTGTAAAAGTAGGTTATTGTCCTGTGCTTTTAAAGCCGACTGTGGTGAGAAAGGAATTCCCATCAACATCCTTGATCTTCCTGCCAGTGGGCTGACAGACTTCCAGGGGAGGCAGCACAAGCTATCAGGTTTCTTTTGCCATTCTCTCTCTCTCTCTCTCTCTCTCTCTCTCTTTTTCTTTCTCCCTCCCTGCCCCACTCCCCCCTTTCTGAATGATTAATTGCTTTATCCTCCTCTCTGTTTTTCTGCACTTAATTTCTGACAAATATCTTATGTTTTCTTGTTGTTTGTGTACTTCTGTGCCGAGGTGTTACAGCCACAGCCTCCTCTGCTGCAAGAGGTGCAGGCAGCCTCAGAGAGTTTGCAGTTACCCTAATGAATAATTAAAGGACATCTGTGTCTTGCTTGCAAAACAGGCCAGAACTGTAAAGCCAGAGATAAAACTCATGTGTGACCTTTCTTTCTCTTTACTTCTGTAATGTCCAAAGCTATCCACTATGTGTGTGCCCAGCTTTTCCCTGATGCTGAGTAGAGGAAATATAGGATAGGAAGGTGTATTCGCAAAGCTTGGTAAGGGTGAAAAAAACAGAGATTTATTGTTAAACTCTGGAAAGTTTTAAGAAGGGAAAGAATGTTGTTATGAGTGTTAGCCTAGCAAGATGTAGTAAAAAAAAAAAAAAAAAAAAGGCCATCCTATTTTCCTCAAGGCTCAGTTCTCCATGGAGTTTCTGACAAGTTTGTTTTTTCCCAGGGTTATCAATATAACATCAGGTAGAACAGAAGGACCACTCATCCACCATGGTGACTCATGGCATTGAAGTCAGGGGGAAACATCCCCTGACTGCTAAGGGGGTAAAGCATGGATGACTCAGGAGTGCCCAAGGACAGAACCAGCACCATGCTGTGCTCACCCTGCCTGTGTGTAAGGAACAGGGGGTGCAAAGGGAAAAGAGCAGGGGAAGAGTTTGACTTGTAATATGGCACATAGGAGTTAGAGATGTAACTATTTTGTACTATAGGTGTTAGTCTCTGTGAATTGTGAAGTTTGGAAGCATTCTGTAACAGTCTCTCCAAAACAAAGCTGACAGTGCTGGGAACAAGCAGAACTACTCCAGACCTGGAGGAGTTGTGTGGCCAATATTTCAGGCCAGCTTGATCTGTTTGGGGTACCCCACCAACAATTTGGCTTTGGTTCACAGCTGGCCCTGATCTGACACACATGCTGCCTTGCACCTGAGGCTCCTTCTTGGCTTACCATGATCCAGGGAGACTCTGGACACAGGATCCAGGCTGGCTCCTTAGTGGGATGACCTTCCAACACTTATGCCAAGAGGGCTCCCATCCTCACACACCCTGTGCCAGCTGCTGGGATTGCAGTGTGACACTGCTGGAGCTACTCAGAGCTGCTGGAGAAGCTGCAGAGAAACAGAAAATGTCTCAGGGGCACGGTGAGCACAACAAGGTGCAGAGGAGAGCTGGGCTGGGGATGCACAGGGTGGCATTGAACGCTCATGTGAGAGGTGTTGGGTCTGAGTGCTCCCACACAAACCCAGCTGTGGGCTGGCTGTTTCTG